ATAGAGCACAATGTTACGTCATGCATACATTAAAATTAGATGGTATTATTATTTGGTGTTATTAGATGGAATTAACGTGGTAGAGCCATGCTGCAGCTATATTAGTGGTATAGTTGTAGCACGAATGGGTTGGCTCGACCGGGGAAGGACCACACACTCACAGAATACCAGCGTAAAATAGCAGTTTAACACTGCTGTGTTTCGATTGGTAAATGTAGAGAACCGGAGACCCTTTTTACTGGAAAAGAGGCATTCCAACTTAGTCCTCACAGGTGACAACGCATCTACATTTTGATTCGCAAACAAGGATAAATGTAGATGTCTATGGGTCACAGCAACCATTTTCCATCAGGTGGACTGTGTGCTCGTTTGTCACCCTATTCCCATAAAAAAGATGGGTAATAAATAGGAGTTAGGGTCATACGTCACTTGACATCAGTACAGCTACAACTTGTCGCGCGCTAACACGGACCTCTTGTTTTTGCTATTATTCTATAGTTATTACGGTGTGCGAAATTGATAAAATACTGTGATAGAGTAAAATTAATTATATCTCAAATGGACAAAAGTATTCGTCGGGGATACCAAGGACACCTAATGGTAAATTTAGTGTCAAAATCTGAGTCATCTGCCGATAATGTCGACGAAGTTACAGCCGCCGCTACCGGGTCGAAGGAATTACCTTTGTATCTCGACGATTCATTAATAACGCTGGAAGATTTTGAATTTGAAACTGCTGTACCTCCAAGATCACATTCACTCTTATTTTCGCGACCACCATCACCTGCTGCAGCTATTGAACGAAAATCGTTAAGTAGCGGTGACTATGAAGTGCCGTTGGAAATGTTTACTCGAGCTATTATACATTCCGTGCAGGTCTAATCCGGCAAGCAGCAGGTCAGCAGAGGATGAAAATGACGTCTTCACCACCACCACCATAAACCATGTGTTTTGAAAGACCTAAAAGAACTATGAAACCCCGTTGTTCACATACACAGTTGAATACAGATTCGAAATCTAAAAATTTACTTTTGTGCGCGCTCATTACAGAAGAAGAACGTAAAACGACTCATTATTATTTCTGGAACCTCAAAATTTGGGCAGAAAATAAAGCTTTTGTAAAGGATGCTGTAGTTCGAAGAGGAATAAGACGTCGTCGGCGCAAAGTGAATAAATGCGATGAAAAATGCACTAAAGTCAAAATAGATTGTTCTTTTTAAATACACTTTATTTAGGTGAAGACAGTTTTAAGCGCTGGACCAAAGAATCAGACATGGTTAATGAAGATGTTGATATTAATGTTTTACCTGCTAATGGCCCTGAAAATAAATCAACTACAGATCATGAAAAATATACACATGTAACAAAAACAGTAAAAACTTGGATAAATTTGGTTCCGAAAGTACCTAGTCATTACTAACGGGCTAGTTCCAGAAAGCTGTATATTGAGTCTACATTTAGGTCTGAGAAACACATGCACGAAGTATTCGTTGAATGGTGTAGGAATGACAATTATCAAGCAGCAACCGACTGTCCTAAGGATTTTAAAGCAGGAAAATATAACCATTCACCATCCACGAAAAGATCAGTGTGATACTTGCTATAGTTTTAAATCAGGTAATATTTCACAAAAAGAGTATGACGATCACATCAATAAGAAGAATAAAGCTCGTCAAGCAAAAAAGATGCTTTCAATAAGATAGTTGTGATTACGGTAGATGTGTGTCTTGCTTGCACCTAAGCTTTTGGCGAGTGCCTTATATTATAAACTTAAGTTACAGTGTCATAATTTCACCGTCTATGACTGCAAAACGAAAAAAGTTACTATTTACTTTTGGCATGAATGAGTTTACTTCTTGTTTGATTAATTATCTAATGAACCTGGCCCCGGAAATTGAACGAGTCATTGTTATTTCTGGCGGTTGTAGCCACCAAAATAGGACCCGGTTAATATCCAGTACTCTGAGCGATCTATCGCAAAGAAGGAAACTCACAATTGGGCAGTTGTACTTAGAAAAAAGCCATACAATGATGGAAGTAAACAGTGTCCATTCAACAATTGAGTAGTATATCAAACCTCCAGTGACTATGTAGCTCGCATGCAGCAAGCTTGCCTAAGAAACCCTTACAATGTCAAGTCAATTCACTACGAATTCTTTCTCAACTACGAAAAACTTGAATCAAACTTCAAGTCTATAAGACCCGGCAAGAAAAAAGGAGATCCTGTTGTAGTAGATATAAGAGGGCTCAAATATTTGCCAGATGGATCTGTGTTATATAAATTGCGACACACTAAAGATGGGACTATCTTACGGTTGCTTCTCGTGAAAGTTTGTTGCCGGAACGATTATATCAATTGCCACTTAAAATAACAGAGAGCAAACACAAACAGTTACAGCGTAATTGAAAAGGATTATCAACCATTTTATGATTCAATTTCATTTTTCCCAAGTACTTAGCTTGTATTTATTATTATTTAGTTAAGTACCAATTATTTCAAATTTGTATTTTGTCAAAATATGAAAGGTTATATATTCATATTTCATATTTTCATACTTTGTCATAATTGATTTAATAAACTATACAAAAATACAAACTTTCGTTTTAATTAATTTCCTTTCAAAGCCTTCTATGTGACAAAAATCTTGCAATTAAAACCTCCCATGTGTAAACAAATAATTAAATAGGCTATAACGTCAGCTTCACTTACTAATACAAGACTATTCCTATGCATTTACATTTCAATTTCTAGTGTCGACTAAATAACCAATGGAACTAAAATGTTTTCAAAGAAAATTTTTCAGGGGGAAGTTTTTTGCGTTTTTCTAGACAAGTTACTTTTAACACATGGGAGATTATAGATTTGCAACGACGATGTCTTTTTTTGCTTATCTATTTTTCTGATTCTTAGCATGCTCCTTTCCATGGCTCTTTGATAGTATTCGAGCATATCTCTGTGCTGCTTAGAAAGTGCCCAAGTTTCGCAGCCATAAGTAAGGCATGGGAGAATACAGGTGTTAAAGACCCTGCACTTAATTTTTTTACTAAAATCTCTTATCTTTTATCCGCTTACGGAGGAGTAAAAATAAGGTTGTTTTTCCTTTTTGTTTTAGTTTATTGTCATTATGGCTGCTGATGGTTCTATTAGTCCTAAAGAGCATTTAGCTATACGTATAATAAATCTATAGAAAAGTGTGTGTGAAAATAAACTCATCACGCCACCAACTAGAAAGGGCAGAATATCGCCTGCCTGGCTAGCTAGTCTTTAATATAATTGATTACCGCAAGGTAACGCCTGACTCTTATATATATATAATATTAAATTCAAATTGAACTTTTAGTAAGTAACCGTTAAAATTGTATTAACAAAAAAATCGGTAATATATCTTTAGTTTTACTATTTCTAACAATACCTATCCAATGCCAGGCTGCTGTTCATTAAATTTGCAGCATAATAAAAAAAAAAATAGACGACTACGTGGCGCAACGGCTTAGCAATCAGTTGCAGTGTTGAGGGCCGCGGGTTTCAATCTCACACGGACAAGTATTTGTACGATCTACAAATAATTGTTAGGACTCTAAGGTCCGTATTAATAAACGTTACTCAACGACGAACTCAAGTGCGTAATCATTTGATACGCCCTCATTACGATATCATTATCTCAAGATCGTTGCTAATTAATAAACACATAAAAACAGTATCTCAAAACGCTGTACTTAGGTATACTGTTCTGTGACTTGCACTCAAGTAAACACACTTGAGAGTCGAGTTTCGTTTATTAATCAGTGTGGCACTCAGCTGATATCGTAAATGTAAACCTCATCTTGAGATATGTTTATTAATAAGATCATATTAGATCTTATTAATAAACATATACATCATAGATAACCTCAATATTGTACTCAAGTTCGTGTACTTGAGCTGAGTAACTTTTATAAATACGGGCTTAACACTTAGGTGTTTGTTCTTGTAAAATTTATGTAGTATGTAAACGGCCACCATATAGAAGAAAAGACTAGTATGGGCGAAATGTTTTAAAAAGGAGAAAGAGAAAAATAACCGACTTAAAAAGTGTACTACGTGATATCTTCGCCAATTTTAAACAGATTATAATGATTTTTTTTAATAGACATATACATCCAGGTTCTAATTTAATAAAAAATTCTAACCCTAGGTCGAGAAATATTCCATTAAATGTAAAAACTATGGACGACGTTCTTTTATAGAATAAGGATAACAAATGAGTCCACCTGATGGTAAGTGGATGCTGTGGTCCATAGGTACCTATATCTATCTATAATTAATAATCGAATTGCAGATGCGTTGTCACCCTTGAGGTTTTATTGTTGTTTATTCACTTAAACGAGTCAACAAACTTTAAAAAATAACCAACTACAAAAAACTAAAAGGAAGAGAATAATAATTTCCACATCTATACAAATAAATAAAATTGAAGTGTCTGTTTGTAATGTTAAAATAACAGCTTTTTACTAAATGCATATGAAAGTATATACTGTACTAATAACAAAAACACAATTTTTTAAAATTTTGTCTGTCTGTCGGTCTGTCTGTCTGTCTGTTTAATCTCAAAAACGGCTGGACCGATTTTGACGGGACTTTCCCTGGCAGATAGCTCATGATATAAGGAATAACTTAGACTACTTTTGTTTTAGAAAAAGAATTATGGTTCCGCGCAAAAAAAATAAAACCCATGAAATTCAAGTTCCACGAGGGCGAAGTCGCGGGGAACAGCTAGTAATTTAATAATTCTGAAGACAGGACCTCAATTCTTTATAATTTTATTCTTCGATACACTTTGTCTTAGCATTGACATGAAGCTATTACAATTTCCTCATAATTCAATTTATGTGGATTTTTTAAAAGATGGTTTTCATTTTTTAAGTTTAATTAATTTTCTATAATGTTTCGGGAAGCGTTAAAAGTTTTACGGCAATAAACATTTCCATATTTAAATAAACTAAACCCTCAAGGTACTCACCAGAGTCGACGACATTTACAAAATATATAAATAAAGTCAAACTTATAATAAACAATTTCATTTTACACTGTTTTAAATTCGAAAAATAATAATTTACACAAATACTGAAAACATGTCTTCGTTAGCCGTGTGTTCGAAGTTAACTGGATCTGGAATGCAACGTAGTGATTATAATATGCTCTTTGGTTAACTGATTGAAGCCGACCAGATTTTCGATTATGGCCGGAGATTCATTGAAATTTAAATAAGAACTGAAATACAAGCGTCGTACTCTTGTACATTATTTATACGTAGAAGCCAGTCGGATTTATCGAAGGAATATATATGTTTATGTATATGTTTTCGTCTCATGCCTTAACGGTCTTAGTTTCATATATCATTCGGATTATAGGTAGGGTGACCATACAAACAGTTGGAAATATGAGAATAAAATATTAAACCGAGTGACGATAAAGTTATCACATTAAATGAAAAGACGTATCCTACATAAATTTCTTTAAACATACACAAATAAATATATAACAATTAATATTCTAGTCGCCGTAGCATTTTTTTTGTTTTAATATTAAATAACATCATGTAAATGCATACAGATATCACCTGATGAATACTAGAAGGTCAAAGACCCGTGGCATTTGAAGGCGAATATACCTAGCTTAAACGTTGCCAATTCTAATTACTCAAATAAAGAAAAAATCATAATTTTATGCGCGAAATTAAAAACAAAGGGACCGCGCGCTGCGAGTGTGTGAAAACAAATTCAAGCGAAAGATTTACTTAAAATAAAGGCCTTAAGGCATAATTATCTATGCGCGAAGTGACAAGAAATGGGACGGAGTGTCGAAATTCATATTTACCTCTGGCACAGAGTAAAGAGGACCAGAGGGGAAGCTTCCTAACAACGTCGAAAATCTATACCTATTCTGATAGGGTTGTCACCTGATGCATGTGAAAATTTTAAGGAAAAAATAAAAATATTGTATAGCATAAGACATCATGTGTATTAATTATAACTTATATTAATGTAACAACATATTTATTAATTGTTCGAAATCAAGAGTTTTGGTGAAGTGGTGGTGGTGGTAGTTGTGGCTGTGATGGTGGTCATGGGCAGTGGCGGTGGTGGTGATAGTAATGGTGGTCATGGTGGTGGTGTTGATGAAGTCACTCTTGGTCCACTGCCTACTACCATTACCTACGATAATACCACCTCCACCACCACTGACACCATCAGCAACACTATCCACCAACACCAACACCAGCACCACTTCCACCAACATCAATCCCTGGCGATTGTATTCCAACCATAATGCAGTGGTATTTACCCCTGCGGTCGCGACTCGCAAAAAGTAACTTATATCCTACCCCAGGAAGCAAACTACCTCTATACTAATGTGGGTGGATAAAGTCACACATTTATCCTTATTACGTAGGATATTCTGCCATTTACGGCACTGTCGAAGTTAGACTGACTAACATTTCAAGTAGGTGAGACCGACATCATCACTCGGCGACGCACCGTTCTAACACATTCTCACTTACCTATCAATGTTATATTACCTAGTATTATTGTATACGTAAAAAGGTACTTACTTCACTTGATCCCTCGGGTACAAAAAAAGGAAATATCCTTTTTTTTCTCTAGAATTATTCATGCATACTGTACAACTATTAGGCATTTTTGCTTATACAGAAAACTTATTATTTATAATAACTTAATTCTTAATTATTCTTAATAAAAAACTTTAATCTAATTATTTAATAATTGCAAAAATACTTAATAATTTAATTGATGTATAAAATATCGAAATATTTTTGGTCTATTTATTTAAATGCGCACGACTAACAGCCCTTTCATGGACACTCTGACTGAGCCGGCGCAAACCGGTTTGTACCCCGACGGAGCGTCGGTGAACCTGTCGGTGAGAGCTCACGCACACATCGCTGCGCTATGTATGGGTGTAGTCGCAGCGGGCCGTTTGTATGTAGCTTCCCCTCTGGTCGGTTTCTTTAAGCGTCTCCCACACAGAAGCGGCTTGCGGTGGCGGCCGCGGTGGCGGCCAGTTGTATTCGCTTGCAATGTAAGTGAGTCTCCAAACCCATGCGGCCATTTCGCGGCCTGCGAGCGGCTGGCCGCGGTCGCATGCTCCGCCCCATTTGCCAATGCGTGTGTGTTAGCGAGTACGCGGTCAGTCGGTGGCTGCAGCGCGGTCAGTTGTAAATTTTTACAACAGGCCGCGTGTACCGCGTGAAAAATGGTGCTAAATTCAGTGATTTTAATAGAAACAGTGCAAAATTGTCTAGTACTGTATGATAATTCGCATCGTGATCACAAAAGCATTAGTATTAAAACAAAATATATGATAATATTGCTGAATATAATAAAGACTTCGTCATGGTTTGTCATGTTCGTACGTCCGATCGTAGCACAGACACCACAGCGAATGGCGCTTCAGGCCGCCACTTGGGCCGCGGTGGTGTGTTGTTACAGCGGCTGGAGCCGCGGCTCGCGGTTAGCCGCCACCGCAAGCCGCTTGTGTGTGGGAGACGCTTAAAGCGTCTCCCACACAGACGCGGCCGGAGTGGCGGCCTGAAGCGCCATTTGCTGTGATATCTGTGCTACGATCGGACGTCAGTAAACATGACAAACCGTGACGAAGTCTTATTATATTCAGCAATATTATCATATATTTTGTTTTTAATCCTAATGATTTTGTGATCACGATGCGAATTATCATAAAGTACTGGATAATTTTGCACTGTTTCTGTTAAAATCTCTGAATTTAGCACCATTTTTCACGCGGTACACGCGGCCTGTTGTAAAAATTTGCAACTGACCGCGCTGCCACCGACAGACCGCGTACTCGCTAATACACACGCGGTGGCGGATGGGGTGGAGCGTGCAGCCGCTGGCAGGCCGCGCAATGGCCGCACGAGTTTACAGACTCACTTATATTGCGAGCGAATACAACTGGCCGCCACCGCGGCCGCCACCGCAAGCCGCTTCTGTGTGGGAGACGCTTTAAGCGTCTCCCACACACAAGCGGCTTGCGGTGGCGGCTAACCGCGGGCCGCAGCTGCAGCCGCTGTAACAACACCCCACCGCGGCCCAAGTGGCGGCCTGAAGCGCCATTCGCTGTGGTGTCTGTGCTACGATCGGACGTACAAACATGACAAACCGTGACGAAGTCTTTATTATATTCAGCAATATTATGATATATTTTGTTTTAATACTAATGCTTTTGTGATCACGATTCGAATTATCATAAAGTACTAGATAATTTCGTACTGTATCTATTAAAATCTCTAAATTTAGCACCATTTTTCACGCGGTACACGCGGCCTCTTGTAAAAATTTACAACTGACCGCGCTGCAGCCACCGACTGACCGCGTACTCGCTAACACACACGCATTGGCAAATGCGGCGGAGCATGCGGCCGCGGCCAGCCGCTCGCAGGCCGCGCCATGGCCGCATGGGTTTGGAGACTCACTTACATTGCAAGCGAATACAACTGGCCGCCACCGCGGCCGCCACCGCAAGCCGCTTCTGTGTGGGAGACGCTTTACTCATGTGCCTCTGGCGCGTGCGACGATTAGTAAGAAAGTACATCGCTTAGTCCGACGCCGGCGTCCTTGGGGATGGTTCATGAGTCGCTTGACCTAATTTTCGTTTTTCGCGTACACGCCCTTTAAGTTTTAATGGTTTTTCTTTTTTGATTTTGTGGACATTTTAATAAGTTTCTTAATTTATTTGTGATAGGACACGTTAATAATACGCTCGATAATCATATTTAATAACTTAGTGGTATGACAGCCCGTGCACAATTGCACGCTTTTATTTTTTTTACAAACGTCTTAATTTTTTTTTAATTTTAAGATGCTTTGTATCACAATTTCACGTCGTTGGAATACACCGACATTTTTTTTTTCAAAGTTTGAGTGATTTCGAGATTAAAGTGATTATTTGGATAAAAACAATACCATGAAATTTATGATTCGTTGATAACATCGGATTAGCATCGCCCTACGCGTGCCTTATTACCTATGTATGGTCAAGTGTAGGTATTATAATTACCTATGTCAATGTCACGTGAACACTGAGCGCTGTTACCGGTTTTACAGGTCACTTCAGGTCAGTAAACTAATATTATCAAGGATGATTTATTTCTTGTCAATTTTTTACACTATTTATTTTGTTTGAAAAATGCATTGTTATCTCCTTTTATTATTGTTTATTTTATTATTTTAACAGACATATTATATCAACTTGCATTAACTGCTGTGCTATTTAACGTGATAACCTAAGCGTCACCCAGTATAAGAGCAAAATATTTAAACATCTGACAATTTTACAACATAGTAAGTTCGTGTAACAGCAATGTCAGAATATCCACTACCTTATATCGTCCCATGGTTGTCATAAGAGGACGGCGACTCTTACCACGCTACTACACGACACTTCTAATGTCAATTATTGTACTTATACTATATTAGGTACCGTAAAACGGGGTGAATAGGGATCGCGAGGTGAATAAGGACAAAATTGGGAATGAGATTGGCACGCGATTTTAACAAAGTAAAAAACTTATAAATTGGCAGGAATTATTTTGTCATGTAGTAGAATTGGATTTTTTCGTGGCAACAACAAATGGATAGACCATTGTAAAGTTTGCAACAAATGGTGATATTGTCCGTTCATCTTAACTTGACGCGTGTGTGATTGGTAGCACTGCTTACTCAGTCGCCATCTTTCTTTGAGTTTGATCGGTTGCTATCTGTGTGCTCTTTTGCTTTTTAATAATTTAATCTAAATTTTAAAAATGCCGAAAGTGGTAAAAAGTTTCAAAAGGCAAACTATTCTTCAAGTTTACGCATTTTGTGAAAAAGAAAAGGCTGAAAACAAGCTGATTGTTCCATGGCAACAAGTTCGTGCAAGAGTTGCCGCCATGACCGGTATGTTTATAGGGTGACCAGTTACAATGATTTATACTAACATTTACAGTACCGCATGGTAGTGGGTCATATTTTAAATATGTTTATCTATTTCGCTAGATGATACTAAAATATT